TTCAGGGGTGCACCCCAGGACCTTCATCTTCTCTGGTCCTGTCTCCCAGGATGCGATCCCAGGCAGCATTACTCTCCCTTAATGAACATCTCCTTTCTAAGGGTTTCCTTACATACCCCTGGTCATTGGACTCCAGGGAATTCAGAGAACTTGCCGATATCTAGGAAGACATTCCTATAAGTCATGTGTGAGGAAACACTCCATAGTCACATCTCACTGTGTCAGTCACGAAACATCTAAAACATCAGTGGTGAACCTGGGATATCACTTCATGGACCTCCGCTTTTGTGTACAAACACATTCATGCTGTAGACTCAGGAGCCATACTTGGCCTGGGAACCCCCAAAGTGTGGCTTGTGTCTGTCTCAAACCCTCAAACTTGTGGAATGTGCACCAACTTCAGCTGATTAGTGCCAGAATTGTAGCACACGCTGGTGGATTTTTACCAGAATAGTGTCCACTGCATACCAGTCACTCACCTAGGAACTGTGCATGTCGTTATTAACTGAGCACAATGTCCTGCTTGCAGCCTCTTAGAGTTATTGCTAAGGTACATGCAAACATTAAGAATTTAGCATAAATATGATAAAAATATATTTATGAAAAATTGTTAATATAAAAAGGACATGTAAACAAGTGTATGTAAAAAAATAATTCAGTGTAAGGCTCTCAGCGTCAAGTTCTGACTTTAAGCAAATCTGGACCCCTGGCTGGGCTTCAAATCACCTTCAGCTCAGCTCTTTCAGCAATGTTTGTCACTGACATTTCCGTGGAAGTGGCCAACATGAGACTGTCACTTGAAAGTAATTCCCTGCCCACAAAGCAGGGCTAAAAACGTGGCCTGGGACTGCCTCTCTTTGAGTCAGTTGTCAGATGCCAGAGTTATTCCAGGAATAGAAGCCGGAGGCAGAGCCCAGTAGAAGTACTCCAGGGTTGCCTGTGGGCTTGGCAGAGCAGTGGACTTCTGAAACCAACAGCAAGCCACAGCGGAGCTTCCTCCAGTGCCTTCCCTCCATCTCCTCGGGATGTTAACTTAAGGAGTTAAGTTTTTAGGAAGTTTTAGGAAATGCCCTCGTGGACCAAATCCATTTTTCCCTCCCATAGCTGAGGACCGAACCCAGGGACTTGCACTTGCTAAGCAAGCGCTCTACCACTGAGCTAAATCCCCCACCCTGCCAAATCCAATCTTTACATCTCTCATTAACATTGTGCACTCAATGATAACTTCAAAGAAGTGTCTCATGTTATCTGACAGCGACTTTTTAGCATTGGGGAAAGCCCAATATAACAATAAAAAGGGAGTCCAAATGCTGTATAAATGACACCAGGCAGAAGCACTGCTGTTTTGTGTCTGGAACTCACATGAACTTCAGTGATGGACTTCACAGAAACACCAACAAGTTGGCTTCTGAGGACGGCTGCTTAGCATGCTCTAACCCCCAAAGCAAGCAAGGTTGAACACAACTGTTACACGTTTCACTTTTTTTTTGTTGTTGTTTTGTTTTTCGAGACAGGGTTTCTCTGTGTAGCTTTGCACCTTTCCTAGAACTCACTTGGTAGCCCAGGCTGGCCTCGAACTCACAGAGATCCGCCTGGCTCTGCCTCCCGAGTGCTGGGATTAAAGGTGTGCGCCACCGCCCGGCGATTCACGTTTTCTTAATTGGCTTTATAAATATTAGAGAGACCCAAACTCTCACATTCAACCATCACAGAGCCATTTGAACACCACGCCCTGTAGGAGGTGGCCTTTGGCTTTCTTCTCTCACTCCAAATATTCTCATTCACACATATTTATTCACCCATTCTCATATCCATTCTCTCCTCTCTGTCCCTTCATTTCTGTCTCTCCCTCCCCTCCCCCCCTCTCCCCCCCCCCCCCCCCCCCTTTACCCTCTCTCTCCATGCTAATGTAAAAACAAGGGGGGACACACCACATGGATCCAAGGGCCTGAGAACTCTGCTCCCTGTTCCCGTGGAGACTACATAAGTGAACTCTAATCCAAGATGAGCACTTTGAAGTTTCAGAATGAAACGGACCAGATCACCTGCAGTTCTGGGCTTCCCAAAATACCAATCATGCACTGAAAGCCAAGATGCAAAGCTCTCTTGAAGGTGACATGTTGTTGTTTGTTTTCCTCTTTTGGGGGGGCCCACCACCCAGCTCCCAAATAAATCACCCACAGAGTCTTATTCTTACTTATGAATGCCCAGCCTTAGCTTGGCTTAGGTTTCTAGCCAGCTTTTCTTAATTTAAATTATTTCATTTACCTTTTGCCTCTGAGCTTTACCCTTCTGTTATCTTACTTTCACTCTTACTCTGGGCTGGCTGTGTAGCTGGGGGGCTGGCCCCTTGTGTCCTCCTCTTTCTCTCCCTCTTTCTCCCAGATTTCTCCTTCTATTTATCCTCTCTGCCTGCCAGCCCCACCTATCCTTTCTCCTGCCTAGCTATTGGCCGTTCAGTTCTTTATTAGACCAATCAGGCTTTTTAGACAGGCACAGGAACACAGCTTCACAGAGTTAAACAAATGCAACATAAAAAAAGTAACACACCTTAAAATAATATTCTACAACAGTGACACTGCATTCCTATTTTAAAGTAAGACTACCAAGAAAACAACGAGATCATGCTTTGTCATGATATGCATGTTTCATTGTGACTTGAAAATGTATTGTGATGTGCAGAAAAGTCCAAATAATGACTGTGTCATAGAGGAAAAAAATCCTCATAGCATTCAGCAGTGAAAATATCTCTCAGGTCTTGCAATGAGAGCCCACCATGCACAAACCCATATGCCTTCCTTGAATTTCAGAAATATCAATTTGGAAACAAATGCTAGGAATTATCCAAGCTGCTCTCGCCTTGACACTGATCCTGCAAGATAATGCGTGTCCTGAAAACTTTCTGGGGAGTGGCCCCGAAACAGACTCCAGGGAAGTGCAGGACCAAAGGTCTGTTAGCTGGCTTCTGTAGCAGCCCTGGGTCCTCACTTGGGTGTCTAGCACCACCTGCTCTCCTTTTGTTTACCAAGGTGTGACACTGGGGGAAGGCAGGCAGTGCCCTTTCTCACCACAGGAGGACACTGCATCCCAGACAAGTAGAAGGACAAATGTTCTGCTCTAGCTTATATCATAGTCAAAAAAGATGCTCAATTTCCCAATATGCATGATGCTTAGCCTTGTAGTTTCAGAGCCATGGATGGGACCGGATGGGAAAGGACTCTTCTATGAACCCTCAGGATCAAGTAACTGACTGTGGATGCCCAACCCCAAATGATATATCTGCAGTGCAACCCGACACCTAAGAGAAAATTTCGGAAGAAGGGGCAAAGAAAAGATAGTCAGAGCCAAAGGCCCAGATTGCCCACCGTTAGAGTTTTCCCTGGACATGGCGGGGAAAATGTACCCGTGAACTCTCAACAATGTAGTTGCCTGAACAAGACCAACAATAATGATAACACCAGCTGACATGCCAATGTGGACGGAAGAATTCCATGTGGCCCCACCCCAAAGTTTCCTCACTGATTGTCTAAACCCTGGTGCTCAGTCCAGGGCATATGTACGTACAGGCAATGCTAAATGGACTCGGTAGGTTGTATATTCATGTCTGCATATATATGCCTATGTATATACCTGTAACGAAAATTAAAGAAGTGGTCATGAATTGGGGGCCACTGGAGGAGCTGGAGGCGGCAAAGGAAGGGGAGGGAATGACATGGATGAAGTTCTCAAAAATTTTATGTCACACACACACACACACACACACACACACACACACACACACACACAGTAAGGAAGAATCCTCAGGCTCACCCAAGTATGGCTCTCCTGCTTCCTAACTGCTCCAGGTAAATGCTTTAGCTAACGTGCCAGCATAGTTCTGGGGCTTTAGAATGATCTGAGCCACGGAGCAGGAACAAGGGATCTAGACTAGCTGAGGGGGTCAGAGACCACAGCAAATATCCTCAAATTTATGCTCTTTTGTAGCATGTAAAATATGGAGCAAAAGTCATTTTTCTTTTCCCATGATGCCTTGTGACAGATATACCATGCAGCCATCTGTGAGATCATCCTCAATTTCTAATATTGTTTACAATCTTATTCCCTCAAAAATTTTTAGTAGCAGAATAAAGACAGCAAGTCCAGTTTAGAGCACAGTATTCATGCCAACAGAATTTTGAGCCCAGAGGTTCTGACTGTGGGTGGGAAATACACACGAAAGAACTGGGAGAGCCCCAGCTGACCGACAGTGCTGGGAATGGATGTGATCAATTCTGAAATCTTTCTGACTTTCATCTGGTCAGTTGTAGATGGCAGTGACTGCCTTCCATCTAACCCTCATGCTCCAAACCCCATCCCAGCACAGCAGCCAAAACCTTCACTTTCTATAGCCCACAGAATATGAGTCCCTTCATGATAAAGCAATATTTGAAAACTTATGGTTTACACAGCTCTAATTCGACTCAGTTGGTTGGGCCAGCATATAAAAACGTTAAAATACAGTTCTATTCAAAAAGTAATGCATATGTAGAAAACCAGAATCCAATTTTAGGTTTTAGCTATTTATTAATAAACCACTAAATTTACCAATAAACTTTAAAATGACTTGTCAACTTTAATTCATTACTAAATTTATCAATAAACATGATATATTGTAACACATCAACCAGCCTTCTAGATAGAGGCACCAAAAGATTTTAGCTGAGAGACTAGAGAGAGGTAGGAGCCATGACTCCATTATTCTAAATCCTTCATGCCCAACCCAATACTGATACAGGAACGTTTTTCAGATAAAAGGATAGAAAGGGATGACTATTTTCTAACCACGTTCAAAATCAGTTTCAACTTGAACTGTCAAAGAACCTAGTTTGAATATTCAAATATGTCCTCTGATGAATGAGGTACATTCCAGGGCTTTATGCAACTTGGTGCTTTAAAGCTTCCCTCTAGGAGCATCCTAAGCCCCACCCAACAGGAACAAATGCCCCATGCATACTGCTCACCTGCCATGTCGATGGCAAAAGGCCGGTCTTCTCTCCACCCGGTGTACCAGCCGACAACTTTGCCATTTTTCACCAATGGACGTTCATAGCGTCGCCCACCAACTAGGCCCACAGGCCAGACGGAGACTTTGCGGGTGGTCCTCATCTGCAAAGGGGGAAAGAGACCTGCGTAAGTTTTGTTAATGTGTTGTGACCTACGTTCCAGGAATGAAGCTACTATGGTTTCAAAACTTTAAGGTTTCCAAACAGAATCTCCTACCCCAGTTCATTGTCATTTGGCCCAAGGCTTAAGAGAAATGAACTCGCTGGGTGTAGTGGCACATGCCTTTCATCCCAGTACTTGGGAGGCAGAGACTGGTGTGGACCTCTGTGAGTTCAAGACCAACCAGAGCTACATAGACCCTGTCCCAAAAGAAAAAAAGAAAGAAACTATAAACTAGGTGCCAATGCCCAAATATCACATATTTGAAGTCTACCTGTGATAATTAAATGTTTTCCATTTGTCTCAAAATTGAATCTTTAAACTTCCTGTCTTCTAAAATGAGTCACTTTATTCCCAGAAAACTTTATGATTCAGTAAGTGATGTCACTCAGAATGACTTTCTCCAAAGTTTTCATTTCTGTAGAAACATACCTTGCCTGGGAGGTAGAGGCAGGCAGATCTCTGTGAGTTCAAGGCAAGCCTGGTCTAAGTAAAGGGCAACATAGTGGAACCATGTCCAAAAAAAAAAAAAAAAAAAAAAAGATTACAGAGCAAAGACTGAAACCTGCAAGAGAAAAATGCCAACTCATCAAAAGAGGCAAATTTATCTTGATAACAATAGACTTCTTGGCAGAAACCCTAACTGCTCCAGAAGCATGCCATGACATAGGTCAGGCCTCGAAAGTAGACATCCTTGACAACTAAGATTATACCCAGCGAAATTATCTTTTAAAAGTGATGAGGAAATAAAGACCTTCTAAGACAAGCACAAACTAAAAAATAAATAAACTAAGGTGGCAGCCCACTGCAGAATAAACCTAGAGGAACTATGTACAAAAGAACATAAGATACTAAGAAGGGACAGAATACATTTCATGAAGAAAAGAGAAACAAAAACCTGTAACAAATTAGTCATCATTTTGGCAGACCAGAAAAACTTTATGATGGATAACAGATGAACAAATTATATTTGAACCAATTGAAAAGGACACTAATACAAGAATCAGTAAGTTCTGCTCAATAGCAGCCTAATGTAAATACATTTAGCTTTTCCCCTTAAAAGATGAAGATTAGCTGGTTGATTAAAAAACAACAACAACAAAAAGAAAACCAAAAATCAAGAGCTGACTCATAGGTAATGATGAGCTGAAAGGAAAGGGTTGGAAAATTATGTTCCAAACAAAGGGAAACTAAACACAAGTCAGAAGGTGACACCTGGCAACAAACCATACTGATGTCTAACAGAGTAAGCTTGAAGGGAAAATTTGTCAGACAAGATAAAGAAGCAATAATCCATAAAAGATATAACAATTACAAATATACATACCAAACACTGACATATTGAATTTTGCAATACATGCATATTGCACATAAGGGCCAGATGAGTCCAGATGTTCATAATCATCAGTGACTGAATAACTGTCTCCAAACAGGTCATTCAGAAAACAAGCAACTTTGGGGTTAATTGCACCGGAGATAAAATGGACTTCAGAGACATCTACTAAATATTCTGTCAGAGTGCAAACTATAGGTTTTTTTCTCAGCATCCCACGGGACTTTCTCTAAACAGAAGACAGTTTAGGCCATAACACAATCTTAGTTACTTTATCATTTCTGTGATCAAATGAGCTGACAAAGCAACTTAAGAGAGAAAGGCTTTACTTTTATTTTGGCTTACAGTTCCAGGGAGTTATAGTCTACCATGACACTAAGAAAAAAATGGCATCAGGCAGGGAAGGCAGTGTGGTAGGAGCAGGAAGTACGTCCATGCTTGGGAAGCAGAGGGAATCAGGAAGTAAGGCTGGGTCATAAGACCTCAAGGTAGTTCTCAATAAGTCACGGCAAGGCTCCACCTCTTAAAGATTCTAAGATCTTCCCAAACAGTGCCACCATCTAGGGACCAAGTGTTCACATACATGAGCCTATGTGGAACATTTTACATGTCAACTGTAAAAGTCAGTCTTAAATTCATAAGAATGAAACTCATTTCTTTTGTATTATCAGATAATATTAGACTAAAACTAGGAATAAATAGCAAGAGAAACTATAACAAAATGTGGAGATTGAACAATATGCTCTTGAATGATCAGTGAGTAGATCATTGGGAAATCAGGGAGGCAATTACAGCTTCTTAGACTGAAATTAAAATGAAAACAAACCAATTCCAACCTTTGGGACAAGCAAAGAGATTTTTTTTTTTTTTGCGAAGAGATTTCTAAGAAGAAATTTTGCAACTACGAATGCTTACATGACAAACAGCAACGATACAGACAGATAACTTAATGATTCACCTAACACTGTAGCAAAACAAGAATAGACCAAACACCAAATGAGTAAATGGAAAGAAATAATAAACATCAGGGTAGAAATGAATGAAACGGAGACTAAAAGGACAACATAAGGAATCAATGAAACAAAGAGTTGGTTCTCTGAAAACATGAATGAAATTGTCAAACATCAGCCAAGGGAAGACCCAAATGCTTACAGATTTTGAAAGGGAACATTAGAGTAGATACCAAAGAAACCCAGAGGATCATTAGGGAACACTTCAAAATACATGTTCCAAAAACATGGAAAAACTAAAAGGAGCAGATGAATTCCTAGTCCTATATGATCTATCAAAACTAAATCAAGAGGATGCAAACAACTTACACAGCTATGTAATGAGCAATGAGATTGAAACCGTAAGTTTCTCAAGAAGGTAAAGCCATGGTCAGGCCAATTCATTACTCATTCTGCCAGACCTTCGACAAATTCCAACATCTTTTCATGATAAAATTCCAGAAGAAAAAGTAATAGAAGGAGAATATTTTAATATAATAAATGGAAACCTTACAGCAACATTACACTGAGTGAGGAAAACCTTCAAGTATTTCCTCTAAAATCAGGACTGAGACAAAAGTATCTACCTTCTCCCCCTTTAATTACTACGTTGATTATTGCTCTAACTTTTACGACAGTAAGGCAATGGAAAGAGGTGAAACAGGAAAATAGGAAAGGAAGGACTCAATATTCCTATTTGGAGAAGGCATGATCTTATACTTAAAATATACTAAAGGCCTCTCCAGAAAACTCTTAGTTTAAGAGTTTTAATACTTTTACCTAAGTACCAAAATACAAAATTCTTGGTTAGGGTTACTATTGCTGTGATGAAACACCATGACAAAAGCAAGTTGGCGAGAAAAGGGTTTATTTGGCTTATGCTTCCACATCACTGTTCATCACTGAAGGAAGTCAGGGCAGAAACTTGACCAGCGCAGGAACCGGGAGGCAGGAGCTGATGCAGAGGCCATGAAAGAGAGCTGCTTACTGGCTTGCTCCTCACAGCTTGCTCAGCCTGCTTTCTTATAGAACCCAGGACCACCCACAATAGTCTGGGCCCTCCCAAAATAATTAAGAAAATGCCCTACAGGCTTGCCTACAGTCCAATCTTATGTAGGTATTTTCTTAATTGAGATCCCCTTTTCTCAGATGATTTTAACTTGTGTCAAGTTGACACAAAACTGTCTAGCACAAAATCAACATATAAAAATTAGTAGCTTTTCTATATAATAATAATGAACTTGCTAAGAAAGAAACCAGGACATAATCATATTCACAATAGGACCTCCCAAAATAAAAATAAATCTAGGTGGTGAAATATCTATAAGAAAAGTTTAAGACACTGAAGGAAGAAATTGGAGAAAACTCTAGAAGAGGTAAAGACTTGTAATGCTTGAAGATTGGGAGAATTTTTATGATGAACATAGCTATACGACTGAAAAGCAATCTACAGACTCAATACAATTCTTATCAAAATGATGACATTATTCATAGAAATACAGAAACAAAATTCTTAAATTCATATGGAGGCACAGAAGACTCTGAATAATAAAAGCAATCCAATTCAAAAGGAAAAATGTGGCTGGTGCTGTAATCCTAGACCTCAAATTATACTACAGAGAGACAGGGACAGCACAGTCTGGTCACCAGAACAAGACATGTAGACCAGTGGAAAAGAGAACCCAGCAGTAAGTTCACCAAGCCTCAGTCACGAATATTTGACAAAGATGTAAAGTACATTGTGCTGTGGGATGTCCTGTATGTCAAATGTGTTCCTCTGATTGGTTAATAAATAAAACACTGATTGGCCAGTAGCCAGGCAGGAAGTATAGGTGGGACAAGGAAAGAGGAGAATTCTGGGAAGTGGAAGGCTGAGGCAGAGAGACGCTGCCAGCCCCCTCCATGACAAGCAACATGTAAAGATACCAGTAAGCCACGAGCTATGTAGCAACTTATAGATTAATATAAATGGGTTAATTTAAGATATAAGAACAGTCAGCAAGAAGCCTAAGCCATTAGGCCAAACAGTTTAAATAATATAAGCGTCTGTGTGTTTATTTTATAAGTGGGCTGTGGGACTGCCGGGGATTGGCGGGAGCTGGAGAGAAAACTCCAGCTACAACATTGAAAGAGAGAGGCAGTTCCTTCAAGAAATGGGGTTAGAGAGATGTCTCAGTGGTTAAGGGTGCAACCACATCCGCCTGTAATTACACTTCCAGGAAGATTCCACTGCCTCCACAGGCAACTGCACTCACATGCACGTACTATTCCCACCTCCCCATACATACACATAACTAAAAAATAAGAAAAATCAATTAAAGAAAGAATCAGTGCTGGATAGCCACATGCAGAAGAATAACACTAGTTCCATATAGTTCACTCTGCACCAAAATTCAAAATAGATCAAAGGCCTTAATACGAGAGAGAGAGAGAGAGAGAGAGAGAGGGGAACTGTTAGATTAAAACATTGGGAAAACACTTCACAATGTATGCACAGGCAAAGAGTTTCTGAAAAGGAAACAATAGCAAGAATTGACAAATGGGACCACATGAAATCAAAAGGCTTCTGCACAGAGAAAGACACATGCAGCAGGACAAAGAGACAGCCTCCAGAATGGGAG